AAGCCTGAATGTGCCGCCGCGCTTTGAACAGAGGCATCGCTTTACATTGTATGATGATGCGATACATATCCTTATAAAAAACTCAATGTGTCTAAACTTGCATGAAATCGGCAGGATTTAAAGTAAAATTTGGTCTTTCGGAAATGGCCATACCTCTTGAAAAAAATCAATGTTTTAACATATAGTTTTATAACAATGAAAGAAACAAAAACAAGAACTGAATACCTAACAAAGATAGTTAGGAAAATCCTTTGATGTTGTGTTGCTGTTTCGTTGACGTGTACCCCACGTATTCTGATAACGGTGTATGTTTGAAAAAATAAAGACCAGATATTTAAGTCGAAAATTTAAAATATAATATATATATATATATATATTGATCCAACCTAAAACCGAAAAATAATCTCCTTGCGTGAATTTCTGTGTATTATTAATCAACGTCTAAAATATTTCCGTTATGTAAATTTAATATATTCAAATATCCTACCTTTTGCTTGCAAGGGATTTGATTTTCAGGTCGTTAGATCTATTTTCCATTACTTTTCTAGTAGATATTTTCACGTTTACCTGTATTAGTAATTGATTTTGCAAACGATCTGTTGTCATAGAAACAGTTTGGATGACAAACATTTTGATGGAGATGCGACAATGAAGATCTGCATATGCTATAACATACATTTAAAGAAGTTAATGGTCGGTAATTAGCGTTTAATACAGAATCAATAATGTGTATGTAAAAAGATAGCAATTGCATAAACGTGGAAGAATACAATCTGTAATTAATATCGCACGTTTCTCTTGTTAGGATTTTATCAAATAAGACTGATAGCGTATAGATCTGAATTAACAAATACAGACACTCTTAGAAAATGGGAAGACAATTGATGCAGTTTGCAAGTCATTGGTGTTCTGTCAATAAAGTATGAAGTATCGTTTATTTTAAAGCAAACACATGTCTTTTTATTGCGTTGTTGGGTTACTGTCTCGTAGAGAGTAGAAATGTGTAGATATGTGTTACATATCACAACTAGTATAGGTGTGAATCTTAGAAGATAAAACTATTACAATTAAATAAGGTATAATTTTGTTTCTATGGCAACTACTGTTAAGATATCTATACTCATAGCACTGATTATCAAGAAATTTATTCAGCTTACGTCATACACATTTCCAGATTTGGAGTTGTCTGTAACTACTGTTAAGACACATGATCACGAAATGTAATAATTTTACTTAGGTGACATTTTTCAATCTTTAATATACGAACTTAACCGTTTTGTAAAATTAAAAAAAAAAACAACAAGCAAATGCTGATTTTAAGACAAAAAAATGCTTTCTTTTATCTCCGTAATGTGCAAATTTACAAAAAAAAGCTCAACTTTACACCCAGTGAGTGTGGGATTGTATATTTACTGCATAATTTGTGTGCTGACTAAACTATAAACAGATTGAGCTAAAAGATTTTTTATATCTGTTCACTTAAAATCAAAAGGAGCTGAATGTTTTATTTACAAATCTTTACGCGACTTGTGACCTTCAACAAAGGAAAAGGACTTCATGGATAAGTTGAACGATATGAGACAATAACCAAACGAGTTACTAGAAAATAAACAAATTATACCGTGGCACAAGCCAGAGATTTCACCATCTTGACATTTTTTGAAATAATACCAACGATGACATTAAAGAAGATTTCACACCTTACAGCAAGACTACTAGTCAACAGATAAGGCGATGAGAGTCAGCCACGGGCGCTCAAAGTATTCCCTTTTTTCATTTTCTTTGTAAGGCGATGAAAGTCAGCCACGGGCACTCAAAGTATTCCCTTTTATCATTTTCTTTGTAACAACATTTTTTTTTATAGAATGTCTGATTTCATCGTATTTCCTTCAGTGAACGTCTTTTCTTATAACAACACAACCTAATTTGGAAGCAGTGCCGCTCCTCTATAAATTCTAAATTATGGACGGTATTAAAAATATTTTAAATAATAACAGACATTATGCATCGTAATATTACTTTCATTAAAATCCTTGTTAAAAAATATGCCATGAGTATATGTTTTGAATCTAACATTTCTACTGGATAATGCTACTCAAGTTGAGACTAGAATACCTTACTAGAATTTTAAATTCAGAAAAGAAAGGATTATAAGTTATATACTACAGAAGTTTGCATCTACACTTTGAAAACAATCAGCATATGTTTTAATTTAGCGTAAAATAGTTTCAGTTGCTCGCGCGCTTCCTTTAAACGCCGTCAATTTTCAGACAGTGTTATAAACTATATATAAATTGTATTACTTTAAACCATTAGAAAGTCAGTTTATGCGTAAAAAATCTAATCAATTGACGACAAAAAAATATCAAAACATTATGGTGTACTGAGTACTACACAGATTAAAGTATAAGCTTAAACAATCAAATTCAGAACTATGTTTACGTACACGAGCTAGACCATTATATTTCAGTACCGTTGAGAAGCATTTGAAAACTGTAGCGTCGAAAACACTATTTAAAAAACTTTATCGTCATGACTCAAGATGCAACCTTCTTGCCTATTATTACAAAAGTGAAATCGTGTGTTCTTGATTGGCTGTCAGACCGTAGAAATAAAAATAACGCCTTTTATTTCACAACATTGATCTAAGAAAAACCGCTTATTATCTTCCCAGTACTAGTATCTTCTATATCTGGATATAATCTTCTGAATAATTACCGTTTCGATGGAATCATTTCGTATGTTATAACATAACATACAAAAAAATCATATTTTCCGAATACAATATAGCAATGGAATCATGACATCCACAAATCAATTAGAAACATAGATTCCGTTTTCATGTAATTCTATGAAAGGAATTCTACCAATCTAAAGCCCTTCTACACTATTATGTTAGGTGAGGTAATATTGGTAATTATATTAATCATGTTCAACTCCAAATATATATACAAATCACAACATAATCTGCCTAAACGGAATAATTATATATTGTTAAATCGTACATTTTCTGTCTTCTTAATGTGAGTTAAAATTTCACATACACCTCACTCGTTCAATTGTGCAATAATTCACTACTGGGAATTGCATTTTAACAAATGCTTTTCAGTTGCATTCAAGCCACTTAATACACTCAAAACTGGCCCAATGTTCAGGACAAAATGATACCTGTAATGATAACTGACGATAAAGTTAAATATTCAAATCCAAATAATTATCAATAGAGAAGCACGTATGTTTTTTTTTTCAGAAGCTTCGCCGTACGAAAATTTATTTGCACTTAGTTTTGTATACATTTGGTTTTTTTTGTATTTTGTGTTGCACAATATTTATTTTCATCTTGTCTTTTGCAAACTTATTTATTTTCAGTTCTTACAAGGCCAAGTTATTCATTTTCAAAATCTTCCTCTCCTAGAAAATCAAATGATCGTCCCCTTATGACGTATAAGAATCTTTTTAATGAAGCCTGAACGTCGGAATAACATTGCCGCGACAGAAAACTGGCTTTCTCTTTAAAATAGCCAGAAAATAAACATAATCGCCGATAAATAACAGGTCATGCCGGGGAGATGCATTGCCGGGCGATAAAAGAGGGCGATTGAAAATCGATGTTCAAAGATAGACATCTTAAATAAAGGCGTTGAAAATGAGAGACAAGTTCATCTGAAAAACGTTCTGTCACCCAAGTCTGAGTAAAGCATATGAGAACTCGGACGGCTTTAATATCTCAAATATTGGTATTTTTTTTATTATTTTGCCCATTATATTCGGACATAAGACAAGAAATGATAATATCATTTGGAAGCCTACAATTAACAGTACCAATAGACACCGAATTGCTATTAAACGGCTCAAATATGATTTCAATTGAAGAAAACATTAGTTTATTTCTCATGGTGCAAAGGTTCATTATTAAATCTAAAAGGTTTACAAATAATAATTCACACAATATACCTGTAAGCATTTTATCTTATCAGTTGCATTTTTTCTTCTTCTTCAGTTTATTATGTTATGTAACTCAACTGACATTATCAATACTTTTATTATGTAACAGAGCATATGTATTTTTGATTTATTTGAGTATATTGTATCTAATTTAACAAGGAGACAGATTGACATAAGCACTTGTTGTTTGTTTCTGAATCCTTTTGTGAATTTAAATATATATTGTAATTGTATAATTCATAATAAAATATTGTTTACACTAAATATTGGTATTAATATTACTATAGGCAGATACATAAATATTGTATATGCAACGGGACACTAGGGTATATTTGATGGACTGAAATTACTGTCTTAACATTTTTTCTTTAACTCTAGCAAGGTTTTGTTCTAAAAATTAACTTTCCAAAGTGTATTATAGTAATCTTAGGTATCTTGAAAAACGGGGCTACTCAGTATTGTCGCCTATTGGGAAATTAATTGTTTTTTAAGTTGTAATGTTTCTGCAGGTATCTTTGATGAGTTTTATTCACTTTATTAGAAAGCACAAAATTTACATGAAGTATAAATACAACCATGCACTGTAGCTCAGAAAAGCTTAGAGTTGAAGTTGTAAAAGAGAGGCAAAAGATACTAAAACGGGGACATTCAAACTCAGTGGTTAAAAATAAACCGTCGTGACAACGCCATGCCTAAAAAAGAAAATTACCAAAAGACAAACAACAGTACACATAACACAACAGAGAAAACTAAAGACTGAGCAACACGAACCCCACCAATAACTGGGGGTGATCTCAGGTGCTCCGGAAGGGTAAGCAGATCCTGTTTCACATGTCACGGGCATCCATCATATTGCTCATTTTAGTACAAACCCGGTGATAAATCTAATTCGGTAGGTCACCTTCGGGGAAAAGGGGACGGGATTGGAACATATCCGTCATCTGTGAAACAGTGTTACAATAACACATATGGTTTCGTGTTGTTACGGTATATAGATATTTTGGATACGGAATAGAATCCGTCATTGCTTCAAATTTATTGAATTTACGCATGAACAAATGACGTAGACGGCAAAGCACATTTTCCAACCATACGGCAATTTTTCACAGATAACACCTAGGACTAAAAAGAAAGAGAATAATTATGAGCCACTTTAAAGTTACCACAAATCGTGATGGCAGACGTTCATTTGGAGGTTTTTATTATATCGCTACATGTCTTTGACTTTGAAGGGTTTAACACGGAGAAAACAGGTTGGGGAAGATCCTTTAAATTATATAGATGGGTATTATACCAAAAATAAGGTATCAGTTTATAGTGATAACAAATCAAATTTCATCATGATAGCTGTCATGGCGCAAATATTCATAAAAATGGCAACATGTTTCCCTTTAAGATCATAGTTCAAATGAGAACTGAATACAAAGATGATGGCCTCCAAAATTGGCAAAAATCCTACTTTCTGAAGACATTTATCCTGTCTCCTGATGTCACTGACGATATTTCAGCCATAGTGTTTGTAGACAAAATGTTGAACTTTACCTGAATGTTTGCTCCATGACAGAAAATATTTGTAAATCCAAGGTTTATATTTTTATCCCTGAAAATTGATACCCATTTTAAGGTACATAATACCAGAAGTCCATTACTAGATGAAGTGTGCAACCCGCTATATAGTAAGGCGATCACGTTGTCCCCGTACTTCAAACTGTGATTGAAACAGGATTTGAGCGAGATTGCTATTAATAGTAACAAAAATCAATGGCCAAATTTTTTGCGATGCATTCTGGGTAGTGATAATTTATGCAAAACACCCTATAACTTAATTAGCACACAGTTGAAAATAATGTTTGACTATCGACGTGTTAATGAATAGCAGATCCTAGCATATTATATCAGTGTCATGAGTCGTTATGATGGTTTTGATATTAAATGATAAATATGTTTGTATAATTTATCAATTTAAAAACTACAGTTATAACCGTAGAAAAATTGTCAGACGGAACTAAAAAGCTCACTTCTTAATACAATAAACGTTTGGTTTTAGAGTTAATTGTGAAAAAATGCCATTAAAAAAAGTTGGCAAGGAAAAATTAGGTCGGAGAATTGAGTATCCATATACAGTACAAGTAACACTGGATTAGGAATGAGTTTAATAGGAATAAACATTCTGTTATATTTATTTGAAGAATATATGTTACGAATTACAAATTTCAAGAAATAAGTTTTTTTAAAAGTTACACGGGAATTCTGCAGATATAACCATTCTTAGCAAAATTAACAAATTGTACCCTCAATTTTGAAAAAAAAAAGGGAAATTTAGTTGTATACCCTTTTTTCAATTTTGAATATCTTCGATCCTGCGTAACTGAGATCTTGACGGTTATACTACCGCGGATGATGGTGTGGACGAACAAAGGTTATCTTTTCAGTCAGATATTGTTACATTTATCCGTTAAAATACATGTAAAAAATGCCGTTCACAACACTTGCGTTCGACGTATAATTTTATAGGTTAAAATTGTAGGACAAGTTGCGATCATGATCACGATCTTCATAAAAAAATGAGTAATAAATATATATTCTTTATTTAAGTAAACTTCATACAGAAATATGACGAAGTCTTACTTCAAAAACCTATAGCTGTAGTTTAATTTGTTCAAATACTAAATCAATCTCAAGGGTAAAGTTGGGCTGTAAAGAAATAAAGTATTCCCTGGAATTTTCCGGTTCCAACAGTAAAACCCTTTCTTACAAGTGTGGGATGTATACATTAATAGCAGCTGCGTCAGGTCGGATTAGGGACTTTAAATCCAGTACCTCTCGTATTCAGGATGAATGTTACGATCTCTGATGTTAAACATAACACTTGCGACAACTCTTTGATGGGAAATGCATGATATATTTGCCACTGAACGTAAAGCTAGCAACTTACGATAAATAAAAACTTTAATCCGCATGATCTACAGATGACTTCAGTCTTGTGAGTATATAAAAAAAATAAAGGAATATTACACGCTGCACCACTGACTCACGTATGTATCTTATGATGGCGAACGTAATGACGGACAGACAGAAGAAGAGTATGTCTCTTAACTTAAAATAGATAAAAAACATGAAACTTTTGAAATTTGAAATTGTTTCGAAATTCATCTGAAGCAACAAATGATCTACAGATGACTTCAGTCTTGTGAGTATAAAAAAAAAAAAAAAGGACTATTACACGTTGCAGCACTGACTCGCGTATGTATCTTATGATGGCGAAGGTAATGACGGACAGACAGAAGAAGAGTATGTCTCTTAACGAAAAATAGATAAAAAAACAATAGACTTTTGAAATTCGAAGTTGTTTCGAAGTCATCTGAAGCAACAAATGGTTGGATATTTTTGACAAATGTATTTCGGTAGAAGCGAAGAAAAATCCTGTCTTGCTTATTCATCACCGTATATAGCTTCCTTAAGTAACCGAGACATAATTCGTCAACACAACGTTCTATTTAAAAAAAGAGGCAATTATGATTATATTTTGACAAAAACAGCTATATCTTTTAAATAGACGATACATTTTTAGTCCGACACGGCAGATTTTATAGTTCTCAATTGCCTTTGCGCGATGAAAAATGGTACCAATGTATTCGTTTATAAAATTTTATATCATTTTCTAAATGTTGAATAATTAAAATGAAGTTAAATAACTGGCAATAAGAAACCACCGCACTAATTCGGCTATCTTCATTAACAACAAACTGTTTATTAATCAAACACTCAAGGATACTAATTAACAGCTATCTGTTTGATGATAATATTTGTACCCATGATTCCATAGTTATAAAACGAGATTTGGGAGTACCACATATGGGGCTTTCCACTGATAATGGGGACATCGTGATCGCCTTACTATATAGTACAGCTTGCACACTTCGTCTAGTAATGGACTTCTGATAATACCCATAAATGAACATAGTACTCATTTATGAGGATCCTCCCAAAGCTGTAAAACTTTGCACATAAAAAATTGTTTGGGTCTATGGTCAGGTATTCATTCCTTTTAGGGTGTATGTGACAGGAGCGATTTTCTGATTTCAGCTTACAAAGAAAGGGAAATTGTCAAGGAAAAAATATACTTTAAATTCCGAAATATTGCGAGCATTCATTATTTCGATTTTTGAAGAAATGACAAAAATGCGAGATTAATAATGGCGATTTTAGAGAAATCAGCATACAGATAATTGTATGTATGAGATATCAGAATGCAAGTACTTATTATTATGATGAGTGTAGTCCTCCATGCAAAGGGTGTCCTTTAAGTGTAGACAATCGCTCTGAGAATACTGTCAGACCATTGTCATCTATGAAATATTCAGTATGGTTCAGAGAGTAGTTCTTGCTGAGTAGAAATTCTCTTACTTGTGTTATCATATTTGAGAAATGGATGTAAATTTTTTTTAAATGAAACATGGAAACCATACAATGTAGAGGTGCCATATGAATTTCTCATACCTTTGTCTTAAATCAAGTTGTGATATATTGATGACTATGGATTATTTCCAGATATTTTGATTTAATGGTTTTTTTTCATACTGTGCTAGCTTATCACAGTTGGTAATTGCTTGGCTGCAATATTTATTCCTATGACATGTATGAAATAAAAATAACTTTAATATTTTGTATATTTAGAACATGATGACCGATGGACAGACAATGGCAGAGGTGGTCATGGTGGTGGACAAAGAACATTTGGAAAAAGAGGTGGAAGGAAGAGCTATGGGGGCTTTAATAGAGGAAGTGGTTACAACAGAGGTGGTATGTAGTCTTAAGATATTTAAAAGCATGAAATTTTCTTATTCCTGTTTCAAGAATGAAGTCTTATTGCATGTATTGTATTCTGTTGTCCTTAAACAATGTTATATATGAGAACTTATTATTATTATTATTAAAGTTTGCTTTAACAGATTTTTTTTTCACAGTGTTTAATTTTAAGAAGGCATACTCATTATTGAGTTATCATCATGATCAAGAAAGGCAAATGTGACATATTTGCCTTTCCAGAAATATGAAATCAATAAAAAATTGTCAATTTCTAGGGCATCTCATGATCATGATGCCAAACTTATCTTGGGGAAATTTTGCCCAATATTTAGTTCCTCAAAGAGTTACTTCTGATACTTAAGATTTTGAGATATGTTGCTCCAATTTTATGAATTTTGAGACTTTGATTTCTAAACAATTATCTACCCTGAAGGTGTTCTGTAGTGTAAGCAACTATTTGGTTTACAATGGTTTAGATTGAGTTGAACTTTGTTCCAATCCAATAAGCTATAGATGATCTGGTATTATTTAGTGACAGAAAGGCAGAAGCTAATGAGAAAAATAATGTTAAATTTTGAAGGAAGACCAGATAGATCTAGAGGAAGAGGTAGAGGATTCAATCATGGCCCTGGACCCAGAAGTAGATTTGATGATGAAGGAGATGTAGATATGGGAGGTAACTCCGGTGGGCCATCCACATCAAGATAGTAAGTGTTATTGTACTATATTTGAGTGTTTTACTTTTGTTCGGTTTGTTTTGATTTAAATTTATGGTGACACAGCCAATACAAATGTATCATTCATGTACATGACAGTTCCCTATATAAGCAGATAATTTGAAAATAGTAGAAATGAAATGTGTTGATTTACATATCTATATTTTATTATTAGTCCCCTACCGACGAAGTCGAAGGGGACTTTAGGTTTGCACTCCGTCCTTCTGTCTGTCAGTCCGGCAAATCAGTTTTCCACACTTTTTAGCTCACCAGGGCCCGTCAGGGCCCCATGTGAGCTTATGCCATCACTTGGCGTCCGTCGTCTGTCGTTGTCGTCTGTCATCGTAAACTATTTCAAAAATCTTCTCCTCTGAAACTACTGGGCCAAATACCTTCAAACTTTAACTAAATGTTCCTTAGGGTATTTAGTATATATTGTATCCGAAGTTTTGATCCATCGACAAACATGGCCGCCATGGCTAAAAATAGAACATAGGGGTCAAATGCAGTTTTTGGCTTATATCTCAAAAACTAAAGCTTTTAGAGCAAATCTGACATAGGGTAAAATTGTTCAATTGGTCAAGATCTATCAGCTCTGAAATTTTCAGACGAATCGAACAACCCATTGTTGGGTTGCTGCCACCGAATTGGTAGTTTAAACAAAATTTTGCAGTTTTTTGTTATTATTTTGAATATTATTATAGAAATATATATAAACTGTAAGCAGCAATAATGTTCAGCAAAGTAAGATCTACAAAAAAGTTAATATGAACAAAATTGTCAATTGACTCCTTAAGGAGTTATTGCCCTTTAAAGACAATTTTACACAATTTGTTCATCAAGTTTGCTAACATTTAAAAATCTTCTCCTCTGAAACTACTAGGCCAATTACCTTCAAACTTTAACTAAATGTTCCTTAGGGTATCTTGTTTATAAATTGAATCCGGAGTTTGTATCCATCGACAAACATGGCTAAAATTAGAACATAAGGGTCAAATGCAGTTTTTATACGTTTTGCGGTCGTATATTGGTATGACGTTGGCGTCGTCGTCGTCGTCCGAAGACACATTGGTTTTCGCACTCTAACTTTAGTTTAAGTGAATGGATCTCTATGAAATTCTACCATAAGGTTCAATACCACAAAAGGAAGGTTGGGATTGATTTTGGGGGTTATGGTACAAACAGTTAAGGAATTAGGGGCCAAAAAGGGACCAAAAATAAGCATTTTTGTAACTTCCAGACATAACTTGTGTGTTAGTGTATGGATCTCTCTGACATTGTACCACAAGGTTCCATATCACACAGGGAATGCTGGGATTGATTTTGGGGGTAATTGCCTCAATATATTAGGAATTAGGGGCCAAAAAAGGGGCAAAAAACAAGCATTTTTCTAGTTTCATGACAATAACTTGTGTGTAAGTGTATGGATCTTTCTGAAATTGTACTACAAGGTTCCATATCACAAAGGGAAAGCTGGAATTGAGTTAGGGGGTAATTGCCCAAAACGTTTAGGAATAAGGGGCCAAAAAGGGGCCAAAAATAAGCATTTTTCTAGTTTCCAGACGATAACTTGTGTTCAAGTGTATGGATCAACCTGAAATTGTACTGCAAGGTACCATACCACAAAGGGAAGGCTGGGATTTAGTTATGGGTGATGAATCATAAGGGGGTTCAAAAAATTTTGGGGGGAGATTTTTTTTTTTTCCTTTTTTTCTATTTTTCCTTTTTTTTTTCTTTTAAAATTTTCCATTTTAAGTTGGTTATTTCTGTTTTATATTTAAAAGCAAATAATAATGATATGGTAGGAGATACACACCAAACAGGATGTGTAAATTATTATATAATAAGTATTGTACAAAAGCAAGAAATTTTCAATTGCACAGTATTGCACAATAGCAAGAAATCTTCAATTGCACAGTATTGCGCAATAGCAAGAAATCTTCAATTGCACAGTATTGTGCAATAGCAAGAAATATCCAATAGCACAATATTGCACAATAGCAAGAAATTGTCAATTGTACAGTATTGCGCAATAGCAAGAAATATTCAATTGCACAGTATTGTGCAAAAGAAGATACTTCGTATAAATTGCTTATTTCTTGACCAATTTCAATGGGGTTTTATTCTTGAATTCTTGGGGTTCTTTAATATGCTGATTCTAACCGTGTATTAAGTTTTTGGATTTTGGGCCCCGTTTTTAAATTGGTCCACATTGAGGTCCAAAGGGTCCAAAATTAAACTTTGTTTGATTTCATCAAAAATTGAATTATTGGGGTTCTTTGATATGCCGAATCTAACCGTGTATTTAGATTCTTAATTTTTGGTTCCGTTTTCAAATTGGTCTACATTAAGGTCCAAAGGGTCCAAAATTAAACTTAGTTTGAATTTAACAAAAATTGAATTCTTAGGGTTCTTTGATATGCTGAATCTAAACATGTATTTAGATTTTTGATTATGGGCCCAGTTTTCAAGTTGGTCCAAATCGGGGTCCAAATTAAACTTTGTTTGATTTCAACAAAAATTTAATATATGGGGTTCTTTGATATGCTGAATCTAACCATGTATTTAGATTTTTGATTTTTGGGCCCCATTATCAACTTTGTCCACATTGAGGTCAAAAGGGTCCAAAATTAAACTTTGTTTGATTTCATCAAAAATTGAATTCTTGGGGTTCTTTGATATGCTGAATCTAACCATGTATTTAGATTTTGGATATTGGACCATAATAGGTGAATGTCCAATTTAAAATTTTTAAGTTCTTAGACCACATTCATTCTGTGTCAGAAACCTATGCTGTGTCAAATATTTAATCACAATCCAAATTCAGAGCTGTATCAAGCTTGAATGTTGTGTCCATACTTGCCCCAACTGTTCAGGGTTCGACCTCTGCGGTCGTATCAAGCTGCGCCCTGCTGAGCATTTTATTGGCTTATATCTCAAAAACTAAATCTTTTAGAGCAAATGTGACATGGGGTAAAATTGTTTAATTGGTCAAGATCCATCGGCCCTGAAATTTTCAGACGAATCGAACAACCCATTGTTGGGTTGCTGCCACCGAATTGGTAGTTTTAACAAATTTTGCAGTTTTTTGTTATTATTTTGAATATTATTATAGATATATATAAACTGTAAGCAGCAATAATGTTCAGCAAAGTAAGATCTACAAAAAAGTTAATATGACCATAATTGTCAATTGACCCCTTAAGGAGTTATTGCCCTTTAAAGACAATTTTACACAATTTGTTCATCAAGTTTGCTAACATTTAAAAATCTTCTCCTCTGAAATACAGGTGAGCGATTCAGGCTCTTGAGAGCCTCTTGTTTTCTTCATGCTTGAAGATATTGATTTGATATTTGGTATATTGTTTTATCATGACAAATTACAGATCAAGTTCGAATTTTGTTCTGGTCTGATAATTTTGTGCAGAGTTATGGTCCTTGGACTTGGAAAATTCACTCAAATATTCAGTTTTCCGCACTTTTTTTCTTCATTCTTGAAGATATTGATTTAATAATTGGTACATTGTTTTATCATGACAAGTTTCAGATCAAGTTCGAATTTTGTTCCGGTCTGATGATTTTGTGCAGAGTTATGGTCCTTGGACTTAAAAAATTCACTCAAATAATCAGTTTTCCGCACTTTTTTTCCGTCATGCTTGAAGATATTGATTTGATAATTGGTATATAGTTTTATCATGACAAGTTACAGACCAGGTTTGAAGTTTGTTTCGGTTTGATGATTTTTTGCAGAGTTATGGTCCTTGGACTTAGAAAATTCACTTAAATTATCAGTTTTCCGCACTTTTTTTCATCATGCTTGAAGATATTGACTTGATATTTGTTATATAGTTTACACCATGACAAGTTATAGATCAAGTTAGCATTTTGTTCCAGTACAATTAATTTTTAACCGGTAAGGGACTATGTATTGCCATGTAATACTCTCAGAATGCTTGTTAATTTATATATGAACTGAGAACAGACCATTGATTTTTATACACAGTATATATATTTTTTTGTGAAAAGTTTTCTGTAGTTTTTAGAATTTTATTGTCAGATTTAAGTAATTTTTTCACATGTTGTACCATAACTTGAGTTTGCTTGGATTGATTTACTGACAACTTTACATAATTAAAATAAAAGACATTTTTTAAATGTCGTACTTCTAAATATCCAATTTTATTTTTGTAACAATTTCAATATGCACAATATCATGCGCTCTTGCATCTTCGTTAGCCAAGGGTTACGATCCAGTCCCTTCCTCTCCGCCCTTTGCAGATTAAGCCAACATTTGTGATAACAATGTTGCACCATCTACCGGTAAATAAAAGTCATGCCCATTCCTACTACATCACTCTTGACCAATGGCAGCACTTCTTGAACTCTCTTCAGTGTTGAGGTGTAAAAATGGTTGCGTCTAGTATTTACATACATCGTAAAGCTGGAACCGAAAAATATACATTGACATTCCAACATTTGCGCAAGAAACATACCCAAGAACTTCTATTAGTTGATTAAGAACTTTAAAATTGTCACTAAATGTCGTCGTATGTTTTGATGGTAAAGACATGTTGCACAATCAGCATGTGGCAATTGTTTATTTACATTTTCTACATTTACACGTGATCAAGGGCGCTTCTTGATTGGATGCAGCCAGTTACAACTGCGGCCAATGGAAATCATTGCCTCGTGGATCCAAAATTCTATCTTAATCTGCCAAGGGTGGAGAGGAGGGACTGGATCGCAACCCTTGGCTGGCAAAGATGGCACTCTTGGCACAGCTGTTTATTAGAAAGGCAGTACAAAGGAAATCACCTTAGTTTATCTCTGATGTAAATTTGATTTGTACTAAGCACAAAAGGATGGAAAATCTTGATGGTTGCATTTCTATTTCTCAGCTATGAACTATTATATACCAAACAATGCAGGATAACTGGTATAAAAATAAGAAGATGTGGTATGATTGCCAATGAGACAACTATCCACCAAAGTATAAATGAAGTGGATGTAAGCAAATATAGGCAACTGTACAGCCTTTAATAAAGAGAAAAACCCATACCGTATAGTCGGCTATTAAAAGCCCTGACATAAGAATTGTGAAACAATTCAATTGAGAAAACTAGCCCTTATTTATAACAAAACAATTTACAAAAAACAAACATGACAGACATGAACCAACGACAACCACTTAACTACAGGCTCCTGGCTTCGGACAGGCACATAAAGAATGTGACAGGGTTAAACATGTTTGCTGGCGCCAAACCCTCCCTCTAACCTGGGAAAGTGGTGTACAAAATAGGAACAAACTAATCCATTTAAAAAAAATGTTCTTCTTAGTGACTGACTGTATACATAAACCCAGTGTTTTTATGATAAACTTAGTACAAACTTGACTCCAGTGTTTTACAGGAACTTGGTATGACATGAATTTAGTGTTCAAAATAAGGATTGTTTATAAACACACACCGATTGACTTTCAAAAAGTCTTATTTTAAGTACAATCAAGTGTTCTTAACAAGGACTGAGTGTCAATGCACTGCTATTTGGGGTTGTTGTCTATAAATGTTTTAATGAAACAAAATTAAATCTGCATGTTTACTCTCATCAATTTCAGTACACCTTATGGAAACAACAGAAGAGGAGACAGAAGAAAAACTTACGGAAGAGACAGAGATACACAAGCATCAAGTAAGATTTGATATTTTTCATAGAGACTTAAATAAAGAAGTATCAAGAAGGATATGCTATCTCTCTTACAAAGAAATACACAATTATATCTAGATTATTAGAGGTGTCCTATGAATCACCCAACATGGTAGATGGCTAAAAATAGAACAATGGGGTAAATCACATGTTTAATCTGTAATGTTTCATAGTCATACTGATGAAGGAATTTGTTTTCTTAGTTCTCCATTGATAAGTTTCATATTTTGTGTGTAAATGAAGTTTAAAAAATCTAATGTCATCTTTTAGGTGCAGATAAATATAAAAAGATGGGATTGCCTGTGAGAGGTTCAGACAATCAGTGGTATCGTGTACTGGTAAGTTATTTTTATTCAAGGGCCAATTTTGACAGGAAGTGATGTTAAATCCTCATTATTATTATGGATTCTTTTATATGCAATGAATATTTGTTGAATTAAAGATTTTGTTGCTGAAAAAGGGCTCATACATTCATATTACAAAATGGTCTAAATTTAAAGCTTAACCCACCATTTTCTTCAGAAAATGTCTGTACCAAGTCGGGAAAATGACAGTTGTTTTTCACTCGTTCCGTTGATTAATAACGTTTGATTTTGTCAGTTTTTATGGACTTTCCCCTCTTTGAATTTACCTTGGAGTTTGGTTTTTATGTTATACTTTTTTGTCTCGCCTTGACGGAGTCAAAAAGCGAGACATAGGTATGCTGTTTCCGGCGTCGGCGGCGTTGGCGTTGGCATTGGCTATGGCGGCGTCAACGATGTATAAGTTTGTGATTAGGTCTAGTTCATGGTGAACCACTAGTGGTAGGTCAATGATATTTGGTATGCAGTTGTATTAGCATTGGCACATCTCATTACCATGGAGATTATTTGGCCCCGCCCCCTCAGTCAAGGTCTATTGACTTTGAAACTTTTCATAGTTTACATGTATTAGTTTGTGATTAGGTCAATTTATGGGGAACCACTTGTGGTAGGTCAATGATATTTTGTATGCAGTTGTATAAGCATTGGCATATCTCATTTCCATGGAGATTATTTGGCTCCGCCCCCTTAGTCATGGTCCATAGACTTTGAAAATTTTGCTAAGTTAACATGTATTAGTTTGTGATTAGGTCAGTTCAAGGGAAACCATTAGTGGTAGGCCAATGTTAATTGTGTTCAGTTGTATAAGCATTAGCACATCTCATTTCCATGGAGAATATTTGGCCTCGCCCCTTAAGGGTCATGGTCTATTGACTTTGAAACTTTTGCTTAGTGTACATGTATTAGTTTGTGATTAGATCAGTTTAAGATGAACTGCTAATGTTAAGTCAATGATATTTGGTATGCAAATGTATTGGCATTTGCAAGTATCGTTTCCATGGAGATTATATAGCCCCACCCCTGATCATGGTTCATTGACTTTGAAACTTTTACATAGTTTACAAGTTAATGTTTGTGTTTAGGTTTGTTTAAAGGGAACGACTTATAATAAGTCAATGGTATTTGGTATGCAGTTGTATTAGCATTGGCACATCTCATTCCATGGAGATTGTTTAGCCATGTACGTTCAGTCATGGTTCATCGACTTTGAATATTTGCATAACTTACATGTTAAAGTATTGCTATTTTAATTTCAACATTTGCATTATCAAAATTACAAAAAGGCGAGACATATCTCTGTGATAACAGTTTATTAATTGAAAAATTTGAATTCTATTTATAAATTGCTCCTAATACGTACTTGAATTTTATAATTGTTTTAAATGAAATCTGCTTAATTTTTTTTAAAGCTCTCATACAATAGCATGTTTAATAACAAATGTTGGTTTGTTTGACAACTTTATTGGTATGTTTCCTCATGCATTGTAATTGATATTAACACATTGATGATATAATTTGTTCAGTCAAATCTTTGTAGTCTCTTTGACTAGACTGAAGCTGCATCTATGTCATTGGCTGCAAGTATCAATTCAAAATGTATTGATTTTGCAAACCTCCTAACTATCTTTGCAAGCAGATGAATTGAACTTTTTAAAAATGTTTCTGTAATGACCTACAAAATTTCACTGTGAAAGGAAGTTGTTTTTTTATAAAAAGGTCAGTTAATTAATTGCCTCAAAACTGAAGGATTCTACTTTATCAGTGTGAAACAATGCAACAGAAAGGATGATGGATGGCTGTTTTACATCCAGTGGCAAATATAATTCATATTTAGAGTGAGAACATGATAAATATGATATGAATAAAAAGCCTGCTTTTTACTTGACCAACAGGCTGAGCTGGATTCTTTATGTGCTAGTTCACAAAGTAACAGTCTGCAGGAAGACATGTCAACCTACTGGGACACCTTATTCTGACTCCGAGCCGACAAGTATTTGCTCTTACTCTTAAATGCCACATGCTTAGTGGAGAAGCAGCAAATACCAACTTTCAAGTCTTTGGTTTGACCTGGCCAGGGTTTCCATCCATGACCTCCCACACTTGAGGCAAGCACACTATCACTAGACCACAGAGGTGGTTCATCAGAAAGGAAAGATAGACAATCTAATGTTATGAAATACAAAAAAAATGAGAAATAAGTTGTGACTTGAGACAGTTAAATGTAGTAGTTATGTGCTTGTTCACACTATATCATATGTTTGATAATGTCTTTTACCAATATCCTTTCTAAAACAATGGAGGTTAAAGTTATAGATATATATCATTATTAACAGATACCTTTCGGAAAGAAAGCAGGGAAAGAAGGACTATTAAAACTTCTGAATGACAATCTGGATGTGCCATTTATCCCAGTTTGTGTAAGTTGTACTTTCTTTATTTTCATCATTTGTACCAACAAAATGCAGTACATGCAAACATCTGTTTGTATTTGTATTTGTTGTAGTTTACGGTTTTAGTAACATTGTTTCCACTGTAACTTATGCATAGGAAGTTTATATAATAATGCCTTTTCATTTTACATTTATTATTTCTGACTTATACTGTAGTAAGGTTTGTTCTATTTAAAAAATGATTAATTGTTTCAAACAATGTGACTCCAAACATCTTAATGAGATTACCAACATATTTTTATGAAATGTTCTGTTGAGGATAAAACCCTTAAGAGGGAACAGATTATTATCAGTTAGGATTTTTCAGTTTATGAGTTTCAGAGTAAAGGCCATGGAAAAAAATAAAGGCTTTTAAGATTCAAATGTGAATATTGGAATGCGCATGTTGTATAAGTATAACAGTTTTTAAAAGCATGATTAGGTGTCTGTATCTCAAACAATTTTGATAAACTCTTAATTTGTTGAATATTTTATGTAACTAAAGATTTTTTGATATATTTATATTTTTGTTGACTTTCAGTTTCATTTTGAACAAGAGAAAGCTGTTTTTCATATACAAGACAGACAAGCATCAGAATCTCTGAGAAGACTTAGTAATAGACTTACTATGCCAAATGGTTTTAAAGTAAGGAAATCTAATTTTACTTTTAATTAACAATGTAAAACAAAAATTGTTACCATTTAACTAGTGTTAAAATTTAAAGAAATATTCTACACTGCTATTTTCATCTGTAAGATAACTGTTCAAGTTGTTAATTTGATTTGAATTCTACAAGAAGATTAATTGTTATCATGTATGCATATGTTATTATTTACGGAAATTTAACAATTTATGCTTTTGTTTGATATAAATATAGATAACTTTGGAGACATATTTATATGATTGCCTGAAAAAAAAGCTATTGTTTTAACCACATAATATCCAGACATTATATAAAAAAAAGCATTAAAACAACTATTAAATAAGTTCTGATAATCATATAAATCTCAGCTGTTCCATAAAAAAAAGTGAACTGCATGATGTCATTGAAGTATATATTATAAACTCATTGCAATTTTTGTATATTATAGATGATTGTGATAGCAAAACCAAGTGGTCCACCATCTGTATTTACTTTGGATGAAGAGGGCATAGAAAAACTCAAAGTAAGTATGAACATACTTAAAGCAAAGTATTTGGGTTATATGGATTTAGATGAACTTTTGTATGCATTTAGAACTTGTTGAACTGCATCTGATAATTAAAAAAAAAAGATATATGAAGCATTTATAAGTGCAGAGATACAATCAATTAAAAATATGTTTATAATGTCTATAAATGTATAGAATAAACATGAAAAGCAATGGAAAATATACATTTCTCACTCAGAATATTTGTTCACGGAATTTTCATTTAAAAATATATGTTATTGCTGTAAATATTTCTGTTTAAATGACTATGTAGACAGTTTATTAACTTCTAGACTTCTTTTGGTTATTTATGTTGAGTTGCTGTCTCATAGGAATAGATCCCATGTCTTTAATTTACATAATTGTTTCAGGTGTGTATGAGTAGCAGATATGATCCAGCTACAAAGGCTCTTAACCTCAGCAATCTCTATAATGATGCAAGTAAGTATAACAAAAATTAAACAATACAGAGCCTTACAACCCAACATGTTTTGCAGTGTAGTATGATTTAGAAATCTACATTTGTAATTGAAAACTTTATAAGGGGCTTTTACAGTTGATTGTTTTAGACACTATGTCTTCACAGGTAGTTTTTGTGGTAGTTCAATTTTTGTAGTTCATGGTCAACATCAAATCACAGAAATTAAAAACCGCTTAAAAAATACAAGAATGAAAAGTATGGCTGTTCTAAAATTAGATTTCTAATGATTTAGATGCATTAATACTTTGTATGTTTGAAATGTTTCAGATATGACTTAGAAGATGCTAGAAGTTGACATTTGTGATTAAAGTCATAATGACTGCATTTTGTCTTATCATATTGATAAGGTCCTGTCCAGGACTCATGGCCATTAGTTTTTGTCTTTTTTCTATGTTAATTTATGTTAATTTACAGCAAGTCCCCCCATTTTTGACAGCCATGCAGTCCATATATCTACATAAAAGTTTTTGACCTGGATGTTTGACCTTAGACATTTGACATTAAAAATTGACACAGGTCATTTAGTAATGCATATAATATACAATAGATTATTAGTCCCCTACCGACGACGTCGAAGGGGACTTTAGGTTTGCACTCCGTCCGTCTGTCTGTCTGTCTGTCTATCTGCCCATCTGTCAGTCCGGCAAATCAGTTTTCCAGACTTTTTTTCTTCGTGCTTGAAGATATTGATTTGATATTTAGTTTATTGATTTATCATGACAAGTTACAGGTCAAGTTCAATTTTCACGATTTTAGCTTTTCTCTTTGTTCAGTTAAAGCCCTTTCCCTAGAATTAAATTTTTGATGAAATACTTATTAATTAGTAGATTTCTGTTCAAAGGGAAATAACTCATTTCTTAAAAAGACGAAATGACATTTTGGATTTTTTTTCCTTTTCATTGGTAAATTGTTTGAAGAATTTACTGGTAGGTTTGTTTGTCATTCTTGAAGATATTGATTTGATAATTAGTATCACAGAATGCTTGTTATTATTCATGAGATACTGAAAGCTCAGAAATATTTGGGATGTTCTTATTATTCTGAAAATTGCAACAGAATATGTTTCACAAAAGTAAAAAATTGTCATTTTAAATTTTGATAGCATTATTTGTATGAAGCATTTCCTGAAATTGCATATATTAATCTCACATTTTTATACGACTGCAAAATTTTTGCGGTCGTATATTGGTATGACGTTGGCGTCGTCGTCGTCGTCGTTGATTTTGGAAGTTTTGGTCCCAACAGTTTAGGAATTAGGGGCCAAAAGGGTCCAAAATTAAACTTTGTTTGATTTCATCAAAATTTAACTATTGGGGTTCTTTGATATGCCGAATCTAACCGTGTATTTAGATTCTTAATTTTTGGTCCCGTTTTCAAATTGGTCTACATTAAGGTCCAAAGGGTCCAAAATTAAACTTAGTTTGATTTTAACAAAAATTGAATTCTTGGGGTTCTTTGATATGCTGAATCTAAACATGTACTTAGTTTTTTTATTATGGGCCCAGTTTTCAAGTTGGTCCAAATCGGGGTCCAAAATTAAACTTTGTTTGATTTCAACAAAAATTGAATATATGGGGTTCACGATATGCTGAATCTAACCATGTATTTAGATTTTTGATATTTGGGCCCGGTTATCAAATTGGTCCACATTGAGGTTTAAAGGGTCCAAAAGTGAACTTTATTTGATTTCATCAAAAATTGAATTCTTGGGGTTCTTTGCAGTGTTCTCCCCAGGATTTTTTTAAGGCGCAAAATTCAAGGGCGCGTAACTCTTTTTTTAGATTGAACGTTTGTGATCTGAAGCAATAAGTCATAAATCATGACATGCAATATGAATTATAATGCTTTGTGTTGTGTGTTTAATAATGCAGAGTATTAATGAATTACAAGAATATATATGTGAAATAAATTGATTTTAAACACAAAAGTTATTTATATTCAGTCAATTAATGAAGTCAAAATATAAATATTCATCTCTACTCTCTGCTCCTTCTAGGGATATTGTTTCAAGATAGTGTTATTTTGTTGGACAGTCTGTTCCTCAACTTTGTCTTTTTCCTCTTTAGGGTTAAAAATTAAACCCCCACTCACAATAACTTTTGCTTATACCCCCTTTAACATTTCTAAGCCATGAAAACTCAGTCAGCCACTTGTCATTGAAACCAGAAACATGATGTTTGCTTTTATCAATTGCTAAAACTTGAGCTTGGTTGGGATTAGGAGAAGCAATGAAATCTGCTTATACTGACAGTGTAGACGGAGGTGTATTCCCCTTTTCATTAGAAGTCATTGGTCTGAAAAAAACTTCTACTTCCATCATCTACCTTTTGCTTATAATTCACCCCTTTGTTATTTGCAGAGAACATGTTCATTCAGAATTAATAAAATCGAATGTGGTTAAGATATTTGGTATACAACTTTTTAAAACAATTTTTTTTTATAAATGAACAGCTGACCAGTTTCCGTAGTTTCACATTACGCTTCCATGCGTATTATTGTTTAATCCTATCTTTGGCAGATAGATATAAACGAAACTTTACAAATTCGTTAAAGTTAAAACCATTGAAATTATTTACCAGTGACATTATACAGAAGCTGCGGCGATTCTGTACCCGTGTTGATTGTCACATATTTCCCGACGCACGGATTCACGATCGGTGTTCAATGATCATTTTATTTCTAAAAATATGACAGTTTCAGACGAATTTACCTTGCAAGCAACATTTTTTCACTTTCTATTAAAGTAAATCAATCCTCGTTATCTTTAATTAAACTTTATTTTATTTTTTTCAACTACTAATACTTTCATTCATAGTTTTCATCGTAAATATCTTTAGCAATGTGTATTCAAATTTATCATGTGTATTCAACACGTTCATTGGTCGTGTTTAAATAGATTCTTCTTCTCGACCAATGAAAAAATTCGTTATATAAATGGTCAAGTGATCACACACACGATGCGTAAATACAATGTATTTGCGATCTATTTCTTCAATTTCTGCACTGAAGTTTTTAAAATTTTTAATTTTCTTCAAAAAATATCTATCTTCTTGATGATCATTTACGCTTTTACCTGATAACATAGTCCGATAAGGCTGAGATAAGCGTGGCTCAGGTAAAACTAAGTAACACTGACCGACCCATCAGCGGTGATCAGTAACTTGACAATTTTAACCAACATTTATAATGAAAATGTGAAAATTAACACGCTGCGGGATCAAGTATAAAGGGACAGCGGCCAATTAAGACGCTGCGGGATCTACAAAAATATTATGAAGGCGCTGCAGCACCGCAGCGTCATATTGGCCTGGGGAGAACACTGCTTTGATATGCTGAATCTAACCATGTATTTAGATTTTGGATATTGGAATACCACAAAGGGATTAAGAATTGTCTTTGGGAGTTATGGCTCAAACCATTAAGGAATAAGGTGCAAAAAAGGGGGGAAAAGGGTTTCCAGGTTAATGGACAATTACTTAAGTACAAAACATAGTTTAAAAGGCAGTGTAAGGTTGGTAATTGAAACTCATTTGAATATCTCACCTAAACTGCTTTTAAATTATGTATATTGGAAATTTGCCAAAAACTTTATTATTAATAAATTCCATTGGAAATTTGCCAATAACTTAAGTTTAATGAACTTCATTGGAAATTTGCCAATATAAAATGTTGCTGATGAAGCTTTTTGGTTTATCTCACCTAAACTGCTTTTAAATTATGTATATTGGAAATTTGCCAAAAACTTTATTATTAAATTTCTGATTTATATATAAAAGCAAATAATAATGATAAGGCAAGAGATACACACCAAACAGGAAGTGTAAATTATTATATTAAGTATTGTGCAATAGCAAGAAATTTTCAATTGCACAGTATTGCGCAATAGCAAGAAATCTTCAATTGCACAGTATTGCACAATAGCAAGAAATATCCAATAGTACAATATTGCACAATAGCAAGAAATCTTCAATTTCACAGTATTGCGCAATAGCAAGAAATATTGAATTGCACAGTATTGCGCAATTGCAAGAAATCTTCTTTTGCACAGTATTGTGCAATAGCAAGAAATCTTCAATTGAAATTTAATACAAATTTTTTAACCCATTTAACATTTTTAGATAATTCACCACATTTATTTTGTGTCAGAAACCTATATTATGTCAAAAATTTGATCACAATCCAAATTCAGACAGTATCAAGCTTGAATATTGTGTCCAAACTTGCACCAACTGTTCAGGGTTCGACCTCTGCGGTCGTATCAGGCTGCACTCAGCGAAGCGTTTTACTTGTTTTTTTGTTTAACAATTGCTATATGAAATGCACACAAAAAATTGTGATATTACAGTACTTAATTCCATGGATTCTTGGTTAGAAGTAAACCATGTACTCTTAATACGAGGCATGTAGTTTGAGATACATATTTCATTTCAGATCTTTCTCAAGAAAAAATTCATCTGGCATTGAACAAACAAACTGTCATGTCTCAAGTTTCTGATATCATAGGAGAAAACATACCAGAGGTAGGTTCATTTCACAGATTTCATTTTCCAACCAGATTCATTGAAGTCTAAACATATTTTCTTGCAACAGGTGGTTTGATTCTTTTTTTGTCCTAAAAAAAGTTGTTTAAAGAATATCTGGCATTTAAACCAAACTTGATGAGGTATAACAGTATGGAAATGTCACATGAATCAAGGTATTTAACTTGAGCAGCATAAAATTCAGAACCTAACAAATTTTTAGTTAAAAAACTCATATTAAACTCAGCAGTTGCTAGAAAGTTTGTGAACAAATTTACTAATATGGGTGTAAAATATTATGGTTATAGTAATTTCTATCCAGTTGATACACATTACAGTTAATGAATAATAAAACCTATATTAAAGGGCTCTAGAAAGTGGGCAACATTCTGGCAACTAGAAAGTGCAAAACTTTTTGACATCTAAAGAGTGGGCAACTTTTTATAACAAATTCATCATTTCAAGCTGAAGACAGCTCATATTGGTCAAGCATTTCAACTCTAGCAGTTCTATGCATAAACTACAACCCTTTTAGTGCAAAGAGTTTACAGTATTTTTATCTCCACATATTCCATTCACACAAATATCAGTAATACGAATATTAATATTGGTTTTTCTCTGTCATAGAAATGGTGTTCAAAATTTAATTGAATTGTTAATTTCTGTGTTTTCCTAATATCTTACATACCAAATCATGTTCTGAATGTTTTGCAGTTGGAAACCCTGGATGTGAGTGAGAACAAATTGATGGGTCTGGAAAACATGAGAGATCTTGTGAGCAAAGCTCCAAATGTAGTCAGACTAAACATAGGGAAAAACTTGGTAAATCATATATAGTTATAATACAATTGTCTCTACAGCTTTGATATATTGCTAAATTATAAATTATTGCATCCTATTTGACATGTGACATCGAAAAGACCTCTAAAAGGAAATCATGGTTACCTGTGTAAAAGTTCTGTTCAAATGGCAAAGTTGGTTTGTAATTTAATGTTAACAAGAGTGAAACTATTGTTCAGTGTAAACAATATTCATTTAATGAAGAAAAATACCCATCTGGTACAGAATGAATACACATAATAACAGATTAGATTCAGAATCAAGCTATAAGTGCTAATCTCCATCTGTCTTCTAATAAAGTAAAACATATATATAAAAAATCAATAACTCTTGCCCTAGTATGTAATAAAGATATTGTGAATTTGAGCTAAAATGTGTTCTTAAATGAAAAAGAGAAGAAATCAATTTGTTTTATTAGTTAATATCTAACACCGTTATGAATTTCTTAGGACGGACACAGACCTTATTGATTTGTAATGGAAAAAATTAATTAGTTTTTTTTTTCATGAGTCAGCTGATCAAAAGCTTCAGTGTTCACTTGAACCAGCAATCTTTGCAGTAATTCTTAATAGATATTTATTTTAGGTTGTTTATATCACTGAAAATGCCATCAAAATTAGATGAATTTAAGAGTAATGTAGCCCAACTGATTTATTATATGCACTAAGCTTTTAAAAGATTTGATCTGATAGGTTTGAAATGTCCATGATAGACATAGTGTATAAATGCATAGCATTTTGAAATCAACTTTATAATATATGTTCTTTTGTTAGTTTACTTCTTAATTTAGTGAGACAATCTCATCCTTGTGTAGAAGTGAACAATACAAGAGTACTTTGGGTTCATGATACCAGATTGTTCATATTTTGCAAAACGAGTGTACTCAATTTGTTCATCAGATCAGAGTCATAGAAGAATTGGAGAAGATCAAAGGCTGGAAACTCCAGGAGCTAATTCTAGATGGAAATGATTTATGTGATAGGTTTAAAGATCGGACAGCTTATATTAGGTAATAGGTGGCTATACTACAGGCCAGATGCCTGTTGAACACCAGCTGGATGGATTGGTATATCAATACTTGAGACATCCAGCTCACATCAAGGTAGTAATTATAATGTATCACACCAAGGATCATTTTACTTTAATGTAAATATAGAATTTTCTTGTATATCCCAATCATTATATTTTGAAAGAATATATAAGAAATGTGAAAGGTATATCATGGAATGGCTTGGAAAATAGTATCACAATATGTTGCTGGTTAAATGGCAGTATCGGAATTAGTACATCTGAATATATTTTAACATTCTTTTTAAAAGCAAAGATATTTCAGTTTCTAATTTTACAATTTTGGTCTGGTTTCTGTAAAAATAAGTCAAATCATCATTCATATTGGTGAATCAGACAAGATATTTTGACAAGCTGATTTCTTCAATGAAGTATGGATTATCTCATCAAATGTATTATGGGGCTGAGGCTAGATATTTGTTCTGTCAAGTGACACAGGTCTGCTTCCGATGACGGGTAAGATCTCCCAGAAAGGGAGACAACCTAAGACAGGGGCAGCTGGCACTTCACATGACATCCACAAGTATCATTGATATCTCAAACACATGCACGACTGCATACATAGTATCTCATAGAAGCTCAATGCCCCTAGAAACTTTTGATGTACATTTATTAGAATAACGTCTATAGAGGGGTGGTGAGTTTCAGGGTTTAAACCTCTTACAAAGATACCAGACCAATTTCACACTGTTATGAAGCAAATATAAAACCTTTTTGTATATGTTTCACAAAATTTGTCAGTACTGTCTAAAACATAGTTATTGCTGGCAGGCAGATTGGAGTGGATCAGTATAAGCTTTATGTAATTTCAAATAGAAATATGATATACATCTATGTAGTTTGGTCTGTAGTTGTCTCATTTACAATCGTACCACATCTTCTTTTTATATGTACAGTTTCTGAAATATGTTTGCTTATTACTTATCAATAGCTATTAGATATAACTTCATAATTTGCCATTTAACCATACAATATATTTTGATATCATTTACAGTGCCACTCTGAAAATGATACTGTAAAATGGTTCATGAAGTAAAGTTCTACTACTCAGTTAAAGAGAATTTGATATGATGTACAAAATTAATTGATTTATTATAAATTTAAAATTCATACAAATTAAGATAAATGATAAAATTGAACAATTTAGAATGTAAGCAATAGGAATATCTACTGATTTCTTTTGTTTCAGTGCTGTACGCAAAAGATTCCCAAAAGTGATAAAACTTGTAAGTGCATATTTTTTACTTATTCGAACTATAGTTTAATATATTGAAGTCAAACTATTTACTGCATTCAGGAGATTTTTTTGTTTAATCTTCATCAAGAATCTGTGTAGCCAAAAGTGTGGAAAGCAAGGTCCCAATATTGTCATATTTGCTTTGATTCATTGATTAGTGAGCAATTATACCAAATTTTATGCAGTTGATGCTTTATAACCTTTGATACAGGTTGTTATAAGTGATGACTTTTTTTTGTATGAATTTGACAGTTTGGGAAAAAAGTCCATACTTTTGAATTCCAAAATATTGGCGGAAAGGCTTATAAAAAGATTTCCCAACCCCATTGTTTTACTTCAATATAAATTTAGGTATGAAACCGTGGAACATCTAAATGAGAATTATTTTCTTTGTAAACTTACCTATTCAGACAGAAAGTCCAAATATTTGGTTCTTTCAAAATGGAAACCTTAAACTACTTTTATTTGGTGACAATATCTCAGATAAACTTGACTTCCACTTGAGCAATTTTGGTCTCAACACTTAGTAATTTAAAAAAAAACCCAGCTCTTTATATAATTATCTTTGCTTTTATATATCATTTCAAATATCCTTTATAATTTCATTTTGTAATGTTTTTTTTTTTCTTCAATGTATTGGGTAGACTACCACTAGCAAGAAACATTCATACAACACTTGTTTGTGATATTTATTTACAGGATGGACATGACCTCCCACCTCCAATAACTTTTGACTTGGAATCTTCATCATCACTACCTCCAAAAAAGGTCAGTAATATTTTTTTTTATTTATAAAAAGTAAACTATGATGAAGTTTAAATCACAAATAATTTTTTTTTAAATTTTTAGATCTTGTATGAACATAAGATGTTCAGATATATGTCAACAAGACAATAACCCAACAACACAACAAAGCAAAAAAAGATATCTATAGGTCAACTAAAGGTTTTCATTGGTAAAAAGTGTGTAGAGTACTTTCTTTTCATTAATTGTGGAAAAAGTGAAATTACATACGAACCTAGAAATTATACTATAAGTTAAAAGGTTGAAAATGCAGTTCATTTACCAATACTTTGAAGTATGAATAAAGTGAAATACATGAGACAGCAACCAAACAACAAAAAAAAACAAAGAAAAGACATATAAAGGTCAACATGCAGTCTTTAGTAATAGACAACTTGTAATATCATACATGTATGTCAAGCTTTGAATACCCCAGTGTCTAGATAAGTTGTAATATCATGCATGTATGTCAAGCTTTAAATACCCCAGTGTCTAGATAAGTTGTAATATCATACATGTATGTCAAGCTTTGAATACCCCAGTGTCTAGATAAGTTGTAATATCATGCATGTATGTCAAGCTTTAAATACCCCAGTGTCTAGATAAGTTGTAATATCATACATGTATGTCAAGCTTTAAATACCCCAGAGTCTAGATAAGTTGTAATATCATGCATGTATGTCAAGCTTTAAATACCCCCAGTGTCTAGATAAGTTGTAATATCATGTATGTATGTCAAGCTTTAAATACCCCAGAGTCTAGATAAGTTGTAATATCATACATGTATGTCAAGCTTTAAATACCCCAGAGTCTAGATAAGTTGTAATATCATGCATGTATGTCAAGCTTTAAATACCCCAGAGTCTAGATAAGTTGTAATATCATGCATGTATGTCAAGCTTTAAATACCCAAGAGTCTAGATAAGTTGTAACTTCATGCATATATGTCAAGCTTTAAATACCCCAGTGTCGAGATAAGTTACTAATAAAATTGATAAAGGACTCACAAAAGAAATAGTTAAAAATGGGTAAAAAATATCAGTCTATGCCTGATTCATATTATAGTCGAACAAAGTAAATGATCACCACCAGGATAATAATAGAGACTGGTGTCTTTTACATTTAAAAATGCAGAATGAAATGAATGACTTGTAATATTTTTACCATTTCAGGGCAGTTTCTTTTTAAGTCCAGATTTACAGGAGCTAACAGTCAAGTTTTTGAAGGAATATTTTACAATATATGATTCTGTTGACAGACAGTCTTTGCTTCCTGCCTATCAAGATGATGTAAGATCTAAATTACAAATTGAATTTTACAATATTCCATCTTGTTTATTGGTATTGTTCTCATGAAATAACTGATATTTTAGTTCTAAGTGATACCATATTTTTATACGACCGCAAAAAAATGTTTGTGGTCGTATATTGGTATGGCGTTGGCGTCGTCGTCGTCGTCCGGCGTCGTCGTCGTCGTCCGGCGTCGTCTGAAGACACATTGGTTTTCGCACTCTAACTTTAGTTTAAGTGAATGGATCTTTATGAAATTTTACCACAAGGTTCAATACCACAAAAGGAAGGTTGGGATTGATTTTGGGGGTTATGGTAATAACAGTAAAGGAATTAGGGGCCAAAAAGGGGCCAAAAATAAGCATTTTTGTAACTTCCAGACATAACTTGTGTGTTAGTGTATGGATCTCTCTGACATTGTACCACAAGGTTCCATATCACTAAAGGAATGCTGGGATTGATTTTGGGGGTAATTGCCTCCAAATTTTAGGAATTAGGGGCCAAAAAAGGGGCAAAAAACAAGCATTTTTCTAGTTTCATGACAATAACTTGTGTGTAAGTGTATGGATCTTTCTGAAATTGTACTACAAGGTTCCATATCACAAAGGGAAAGCTGGGTTTGAGTTTGGGGGTAATTGCCCTAAACGTTTAGGAATTTGGGGCCAAAAAACACATTTTTTTCTAGTTTCCAGACAATAACTTGTGTTCAAGTGTATGGATCTCTCTGAAATTGTACTGCAAGGTACCATACCACAAAGGGAAGGCTGGGATTGAGTTTGGGGGTGATGAATCATAATGGGGGTTCAAAAAATTTTGGGGGGGGATTTATTTTTTTTTCCTTTTTTTTCTTTTTTTCCTTTTTTGTTTCTTTTAAAATTTTCCATTTTAAGTTGGTTATTTCTGATTTATATTTAAAATCAAATAATAATGATATGGTAGGAGATACACACCAAACAGGATGTGTAAATTATTATATAATAAGTATTGTGCAATAGCAAGAAATTTTCAATTGCACAGTATTGCACAATAGCAAGAAATCTTCAATTGCACAGTATTGCGCAATAGCAAGAAATCTTCAATTGCACAGTATTGCACAATAGCAAGAAATATCCAATAGCACAATATTGCGCAATAGCAAGAAATTGTCAATTGTACAGTATTGCGCAATAGCAAGATATATTTAATAGCACAGGATTGTGCAAAAGAAGATACTTCCTATAAATTGCTTATTTCTTGACCAATTTCAATGGGGTTTTATTCTTGATTTCATGGGGTTCTTTAATATGCTGAATCTAACCGTGTATTTAGTTTTTGGATTTTGGGCCCCGTTTTTAAATTGGTCCACATTGAGGTCCAAAGGGTCCAAAATTAAACTTTGTTTGATTTCATCAAAAATTGAATTATTGGGGTTCTTTGATATGCCGAATCTAACTGTGTATTTAGATTCTTAAATTTTGGTTCCGTTTTCAAATTGGTCTACATTAAGGTCCAAAGGGTCCAAAATTAAACTTAGTTTGATTTTAACAAAAATTGAATTCTTAGGGTTCTTTGATATGCTGAATCTAAACATGTATTTAGATTTTTGATTATGGGCCCAGTTTTCAAGTTGGTCCAAATCGGGGTCCAAAATTAAACTTTGTTTGATTTCAACAAAAATTGAATATATGGGGTTCTTTGATATGCTGAATCTAACCATGTATTTAGATTTTTGATTTTTGGGCCCCGTTATCAACTTTGTCCACATTGAGGTCAAAAGGGTCCAAAATTAAACTTTGTTTGATTTCATCAAAAATTGAATTATTGGGGTTCTTTGATATGCCGAATCTAACCGTGTATTTAGATTCTTAATTTTTGGTTCCGTTTTCAAATTGGTCTACATTAAGGTCCAAAGGGTCCAAAATTAAACTTAGTTTGATTTTAACAAAAATTGAATTCTTAGGGTTCTTTGATATGCTGAATCTAAACATGTATTTAGATTTTTGATTATGGGCCCAGTTTTCAAGTTGGTCCAAATCGGGGTCCAAAATTAAACTTTGTTTGATTTCAACAAAAATTGAATATATGGGGTTCTTTGATATGCTGAATCTAACCATGTATTTAGATTTTTGATTTTGGGCCCCGTTATCAACTTTGTCCACATTGAGGTCAAAAGGGTCCAAAATTAAACTTTGTTTGATTTCATCAAAAATTGAATTCTTGGGGTTCTTTGATATGCTGAATCTAACCATGTATTTAGATTTTGGATATTGGACCATAATAGGTGAATGTCCAATTTAAAATTTTTAAGTTCTTAGACCACATTCAATCTGTGTTAGAAACCTATGCTGTGTCAAATATTTAATCACAATCCAAATCCAAAGCTGTATCAAGCTTGAATGTTGTGTCCATACTTCCCCCAACTGTTCAGGGTTCGACCTCTGCGGTCGTATCAAGCTGCGCCCTGCGGAGCATTTTATTATTTTATTTATTTGTGCATAACTTAATAGTAAACATAAGATACATCTTTTTAATCGGTGAAATGAAAAAATTAAGTCGGGCTTTATAAAGATTTTTACACCATCTTTAAAGAATGACGAAATCATGAGCTTTTTATGTAACTTTATCAGGCATGTCACCTTTTTTCCTGACATCACAATACAGAATTCAGAGGAAAGCAAGAAAATTTGACGTCATAATTGAATTTTGACCAATGAAGAACTTAGAACAATTCACTGACACTTTGATAATAATCCACTGTTCCGGAACAGTATAAATTGACTAAAAATTAGAGAAAGTAAAAGTACATGGTTCAATAAGCACTTTGTATAAATTGTATAATATGTGTGATTTCAGGCTTTGTTCTCACTGTCTACAGCTTTTAATCCATTGATTGAATACAGGTAAGCTTGTATTTATTTATCTTGTTTGTTATCATTTAATCAAACTTGTCAATAGTTTTATGTGCAATTAAGCAGAATTTGAATGTTTAAGTATATAGATTGTCATAGATTGCTATAGATGTGAATTGATGATTGAAAAACATATTTCAGCTATTACCATCTCTCATTTTGCAACTAATTCAGATGTATTCATTTCAGTCAACCAAAGTTACATGATTACATGCCAGAGAGTAGAAATCTTTTAAAGATGTCAAGAGACCCAGGTAAATTAAGATTTAATGCTTGGTTACAGTAGACACTGCAGCATTCTCCATCCTGTTCCCAATATAGATTAAAGGCCAGTTATCATTCAATAAAAGTATTCATAGCATGAATATGTGAGTGAAGAGAGATCACAATATAAGAAAGAATAGTCCAAGTTTGTTTTTAAGTTGGTAAAAAATAAAGGTCACAGATGTGTTCTTGATACTTAATTCTCAAGAAGAGATTAAGAATGGAATGCAAGATTATATGACCTATAGGTTGCAATTCTTTAAATATAGACAATGCAATTTCCCATAGGAACTCCCTTTGCGGCATAAACGGTGACACTTTTACTATGAAGTTTCGTGAAAAATAATATCCCAGAACGGAAAGTTTATATGCACTACTATTTTATTCAAAGGTCAAAATATTGGGCTGTGCGGCATATTTTCAACATTTATATGCCCTGAACTTCTAAGAGTTTAAACTTATACTAAAATTCTATACTACCCTTACCTTCATATTTGGACCTCCTAAGAATTAAAATTTAGGCGCTACCATGTTTTTCTATACTGGTTACATTCCCATGTGATGTCTCTATGAGATGAAACACAGAGATCATAAATGGGAACCAGTACATTAACAAATTAACATATCTATGAATATTATATATCTCCCCAAAAGAGGCATGGTTTGAGAAACAGCTGTATTTACAAAGTGCAACCTATACAAACATTTATTCAAATAGAAAACCTTCTAAAAACACTTTTTCTCACAACTATACTTATTTATCAGACTTATATCCTTAAGGAAATCACTGCATATACTCTAAGTTTCCTTTTACAGTACATTTTATACCCCTACCCCTGTTTCAATTTTTTAAAGAATTTGAAAACAAGACTTTAATCATTGCCAGCTTACCCTATGTGCATGTTTTCTGACATGAAATGTCTAAAACATGTTTGAAACTATTATGATAACAAATTGAAAGCATTTTAGAATACTATAAATGCATTGTTTAGTAGTTAATCATTCCAACATTCAAGATTATACAAAGTATCCAATCCTGCCTGTGTCTCCAGTCCACATCTTACTGTATGCCTATTTGTCAATGAAAGTTCACAATTTCTGTCTCAAATGGTCAGTTAAAAATTCTTGTCACAACAGTGTCATCTCTAACCATATAACTAACATAAGTTAGTTAATGTTTGAACTAGAAGTGTCTAAAAAAAGCCATATTTGCAAAATTGTATTTAAGAAGATATCAGTCTGGTGCATAAATTCACTAAAAGTTTGATAGAAATGACTGCTTACATCTTATTTTTGCATAACTTTCCAGCACAGTTATTGTTTTGTTTACAAAAGACCTTGAAAATAATAAAATCATAGCATTTACAAGTTAAATTATCTGTTTTATGACCCAGGGTAGGCATTTTTTTCTGTTTTTTGCCCCCTGGGGCCTCACATTTCCTAAATATTTTCCCTGTTTCTAGCAATGTGGAATATTTAGTATATATTTAGGATAGAACACACTATTGTAAGTTTTATTGACGTCTTTTTGTAATTCTAGCTTGTACTTTTTAATGCCGCGGTCACAAAAAAACACATTTAGGCGTTACGGCTTACTTTTGGGTTATCAACAGGACAAAAACACCCCACCAATAATATTTAGGAAGGATCAATGAGTTGCAATGACTGCGAAGAGTAAATAAAAGCACTTCTAAACAATTTAAATCACAAATATGCATATATTATGAATTTATTTTGAATTCAGGGCTTTAAGTAAACCATGCATACTGTAAACTGTGAATTTATGCTGAGTCATCATAGTTAAGGCTCAGGATTTTCTCAATCTTCATGAAATATTTATAAAACTTCATATTTGAGTTAAATTCTTTAAAATCTCTGCGATAAACCAGATTTTGTGAAATTCTGTACCTTCTATTTTTTAACCCTATATAGGTTGCAATTCTTTAAATATAGACAATGCAATTTCCCATAGGAACTCCCTTTGCGGCAAAAACTGTGACACTTTTACTATGAAGTTTCGTGAAAAATAATATCCCAGAACGGAAAGTTTATATGCACTACTATTTTATTCAAAGGTCAAAATATAGGGCTGTGCGGCATATTTTCAACATTTATATGCCCTGAACTTCTAAGAGTTTAAACTTATACTAAAATTCTATACTACCCTTACCTTCATATTTGGACCTCCTAAGAATTAAAATTTAGGCGCTACCATGTTTTTCTATACTGGTTACATTCCCATGTGATGTCTCTATGAGATGAAACACAGAGATCATAAATGGGAACCAGTACATTAACAAATTAACATATCTATGAATATTATATATCTCCCCAAAAGAGGCGTGGTTTGAGAAACAGCTGTATTTACAAAGTGCAACCTTGAGTGTTATATGTTTGGAATTTTAATTTGATATAATGTAAAATTTGCCTTCCTTCTTTAATAGTAGAAATTAAAAATTCACATTATCCTGTAACTCTTAGCTTATTCTTTGATTTATTTTAATTTTAGGAAAACGTCAAAAAGTTCTTAAGAAAGGAAAACTTGGAATTGTGTCACAGCTGTGTGAACTACCAAAAACAACTCACGATTACAACTCATTTGTGGTGGATGTTGATCATGCCTCGGTAAATATTCTTGATGCATAATTACATTATCAGCAATAAAAGTAAAACATAAGATAGCTGAAAAATGTAGTTCAATGTAACATTTGATAAATACAAATAACATACATTTAACAAATAGCCACAATGGCCATTTGACAGTTTATTGAGCAAGCAGTCATCTCCAAAAAGGTTATATGGACGAAAGCAAAGCTATGTAATCATATTTCTATGTGTATGTGTCCTATTCTGTTAAGTCACATGATATTATCCTTTTCTCTTATTCATATATAATTTATAATTTCCTTTACATTTTATTTCAATCTGTTTTACTAAAAAAAATTATGGTCAGCTTTTCTTTGGCTTTTCATTAATTGGTTGAAATTCAATAATGATATTTCCTTTTTATACTCCAGCTTCTGAAGAGGGCATATGTATATATATATATATATATATATATATATATATATATATATATATATATATATAGTATGGGTTTCCATTTGCTACTGTTCCCGAACCACCGCTAGACAGAATTTTTCTGAAATTTTTCACTGAATTCTGCTCACTTTTGTGCCTCCTATAATACCATATTTATTTGATGTTTTTTTTCAGTCTACTCTTTTGAGCTTCACAGTTTTGGGAGTTTTCAAAGAAGGTAAGTAGTTCCATAGCTTTAATTCAATATTACATTTTGAGTACTATAAATGTTGATTTATGAATGGAATCCAATCTGGCCATGATGATTGTAAAATTTTTACACTTAGACATTTTCCTCTGGAGCAATTTGGCAATTCAGTTCAAGCCTGGACAGAATCATCACATGTTTTTCGGGGCCTCAGTGGCCGAGTGGTCTAAGTAGTTACTACTGTAATCACTAGCCAGTCAACACTGAGGTGAGTTCGAACCCCGCTCGTGCAGGTGCACTTGACTCCAATCAAAATTGACTAGGATTGTCAGTTTTCCTATCGAAGGTCGGTGGTTTTCTTCGGCCACTCCGGCTTCCTCCACCAATAAAAACTGGCCGCCACGAAATAGCCCAAAAGCGGTGCTTAAAAGTGGCATTAAAACACCAAAAATCAAAAAAATCAAATCACATGTTTTTCTATTGTCAATATTAAAGAAGATACCAATTGAGTAATACAGATTTCAAGTTTAGAAAGGTATATTAGTAGTAAAAAATATTCCACTTTGTCAATCCTAAATGTGTAGTTCTTCACAAATCAACAATATTTAAGATCCTTTTTATGCTTAAATGGCATAAATATATGAAAATTGTATCCCAAGTTTTTTAATCTTTGCCAAAGGCATAACGCTTTTTGCATAGAATATCTGGGTCATTTTTAAAGAAATTTATAGTATCTTGCATTATTCTACTTTAAAGTTTGAAAACCCTGTCTAAAACATTTTGGTTATAATATCTTATATTGTTCAAGATTAAGGTTCTAGAAACAGTGATGTTTATTTTTCTCAATATGGCATATTTTTACCAGGTGAGGAATGCAAGTTCCTTGGTGCCTATAATTTAAATAGTTCATGTGTCTGTAATAAAAATCTACCTAATCCTGTTTTGTAGATAGTAGATCAGACAAACCACCCATAAGATCATTCAGCAGACATTTTGTAACAGTACCAAGTGGGCCTGGGTAAGCTATACAAATATATTTTATTACTGTGCAATACCTATTTTCAAATATGTTTTCTCTCCTTTTGTATGTTGACCTTGAAATGCATTTAACCTTCAGTATATTATTGATTGCAATTTGTATACATTACAAATTAGAATGCAGCATATAACTATTTTTAACCATGTAAATTTATGCTGTTAATTCAATTATATTCGTGGGTACTGATTTTTGGGAATCAACATTGTATTTTCATGGATACTTGAATTGACGATTTCTGCATTAAAACCTATCGAATTTTTTTTCTCTGAACACAAAAAATTCTGGTTATATCCAGGGCTTCCAAAATTATTTTTAGCCAGCCGGACATTTTATATATTATCCCGATTTAATCCCTTAAGACAAAATAAACAAAAGGCAATTATGGTAATCAGTTGCCGAGTTGGCCATCCCAATGATTGACATTAAAAAAAACGATATTAAACTTTCTTTGATTCAAATTTGAAGTTCTGACCTAAACTATTAAATTGGCAGTGGAAGTGTGCAACATCAGCGTACTTATATATGCCTTAGACTCTTTATTTGTGCAAAATAACGTTGTCAAAAACTTTACTTTCCTTTTTGTCGAGCATTCGACTTTAGTCGAAAAAGCGAGACATAGCGATCCTACATTCCGTCGGCGTCGTCGTCGGCGGCGTCCACAAATATTCACTCTGTGGTTAAAGTTTTTGAAATTTTAATAACTTTCTTAAACTATCCTGGATTTCTACCAAACTTGGACAGAAGCTTGTTTATGATCATAAGATAGTATCCAGAAGTAAATTTTGTAAAAATAAAATTCCATTTTTTCCGTATTTTACTTATAAATGGACTTAGTTTTTCTGCCGGGAAATATTACATTCACTCTGTGGTTAAAGTTTTTAAAATTTTAATAACTTTCTTAAACTATCCTGGGTTTCTACCAAACTTGGACAGAAGCTTGTTTATGATCATAAGATAGTATCCAGAAGTAAATTTTGTAAAAAAAAAAATCCATTTTTTCCTTATTTTACTTTTAAATGGACTTAGATTTTCTGCCAGGAAACAACACATTCACTCTGTGGTTAAAGTTTTTAAAATTTTAATAACTTTCTTATACTATTTTGGATTTGTACCAAACTTGGACAGAAGCTTGTTTATGATCAAAAGCTAGTATCTAGAAGGAAATTTTGTAAAAAAATAAATCCATTTTTTCAGTATTTTACTTTTAAATGGACTTAGATTTTCTGCCAGGAAACAACACATTCACTCTGTGGTTAAAGTTTTTAAAATTTTAATAACTTTCTTATACTATTTTGGATTTGTACCAAACTTGGACAGAAGCTTGTTTATGATCAAAAGCTAGTATCTAGAAGGAAATTTTGTAAAAAAATAAATCCATTTTTTCAGTATTTTACTTTTAAATGGACTTAGATTTTCTGCCAGGAAACAACACATTCACTCTGTGGTTAAAGTTTTTAAAATTTTAATAACTTTCTTATACTATTTTGGATTTGTACCAAACTTGGACAGAAGCTTCTTACAATCAAAAGATAGTATCAAGAGGAATATTTTTATTGATTTACTTCCTCATTTTTGTTGAGCCTGCGATTAACAGAAAAAGTAGGCGAGACACTGGGTTCCGCGGAACCCTTACGAATTTTTTAAATCTCATACCGGATGTTATCTTGACAATGGTAGAACATGGACCAGAGACGGATACGTAAATTCCATATACTTTTGCAAAGTACGAAATCTTTCTACGTTATTTCTTCAAGAATATATTCAAAATAAACGTGAGATAAAGGTATCAATGACAATTTAAGCATTTTTTTAAGAAATTAGGATGCATAATTAAATGTCACACATGCGCACATGTGTACTAGTTCAAACAGAGACATGTCTCTGGTTCAAACAACGTGGTTATGACGATTTTTCATTTTCACCTATTTAATTTTTTCATCAAATCATATTTGTAAACGTATTTCTGATAATTTAAATCTTTTTGACTAAATTAATTAGATGCAAACCGCTGAAATGTAAGAAAATAACTTTGAATAGACCGATCAATGTCCGGTTCAAAATAGTTTACCTGTCACCAGAACAGGTAAATTTCAGCTGTTCGACAACTAATTAGCCTTGATTAAAATGAGAAGGTATTAAAGTAGGGGTTGTTTTGATAGTACTTAATGATCATGTCTCTTTTATGACCGGAAATGTGTGGCTGTTCAAGGCAAAATGTTGGGTCAAAAAGATCGTGAATTATGTTAAAATGACCGTCTCTTAAGAAAGCCTTGAAAACTAAAAAGTAGATGACCGTTTCATGCTTTTCCCAGCCGGACTTTTACCGGACATTATACAAATGTCCTGCATATATGACCGTTTTGGAAGCCTTGGTTATATCCCCAAATGATGAATCTGCAGTAGCATTTATTGAAAGACAGATGGGTCAATATCCCTTATTCTCCTCAAATTAAGGTACTCAAATATAATATTTAAACAAAAAATCTCTGTGCAGTGATATTGGACATGTTGCAATTTTAAACAAGTGGCTGAGCTCATTTGATGAGAAAAGGACCATAGAATAAAGGTGTAAAACTATGGAGTTACTAGTATTAAATGTATGCAAAGAACTAAAAATAGGTATTTTTTTATTTCGAAGCCACATCACAAAGAGTTTTTTTGGGCATATAAAATTGTGAAAAGAAAACAGAAATCTCATTTCGTATCTCAGAAAATTTAACCACATATGTGAAAATATCTCAGCTTAGAAACGAGCCATTATACATATCCAAATTTATGACATGGGCAGAGGACGTGAAGAAAATGCTACAATTACTGCCTACCTGTAATGAATTATGCATATTGACCAGATAATCTTACTTTTTAGGAGCATGTGATTGCACACCTGGTTTTGGTAGAAGTTGATATTGCCCAATGCTTTTGTTATATGTCTTATTTAGAATCACTCAGTATTTTGTGACCCCCTGAACTGTAGTCAAATTTTGGTTTTATAACATATTATTGTTTACAGGATGGTGATTGTAAATGATATGTTGACTGTTACAAATGCTTCACATGAACAGTTTCAGGTATATTTTATAATTTAAGAAGTCTTTTGAGATCATGCAGTAGAAAAAATGAAAAGCACTTCAAGGTTTATATTCTTACATTGGAACTTGTAACTGTCAGTATGTGTGATGACACTAAAACAAAAATTAAACAGCAGAAGAAAGATTCACTATTCATTTACTGTAAATGCTAAGAAGGAAATAAGGACATTCTTTCAAAAGTATCACCTTTCAAAATAAATGAAGTACTGTGGATTCATTTATTTTCATGGGTACCAATTTTCGTGGATTGAGGAAAACTTGCATTTTTGTGGATATTTGATTTCGTGGTTTTGCTAAAGTCTGCATAATTTCCTACACAAAAGTTATAATTCGTTGGACATTGGAATTCGTGGTTCCCGGGTAATCACGAAATCCACGAAAAATTGGTATCCAAAGAATAATAATAAATCCACAGTAAACCAAAAATAATGACAAATCAGCTAGAAAGTTTTGGATACATCAGCTATGTTCTCTTTAACCAGTGGATTATATGAGAAAGCTGAAAAACAATATTATCTGTTAGGAAGCAAAATAAGTCTTTAAAGATATACATATTGACAATGAATTTGATCTAATCTTCCTTGAAAGTGTGAAATAAATTTAAGATTGTTTTGAAAATTTTTTCTAGTTAAGATATTTTATCTACACTTTAACAGAATTATTTCACCTTTATAGGTCATGACAATGGTTTTTATGTGAATTACTTTTTTCGTTGTCATGATGCACAGCTATGAAATAAGACTTAGCATACAACCTTTGAAGTATTGAAATTTATGTCAAAGGTTTACATCAGCAATATGGCAAATAAATTTGAAAATCAGTACAGAATAAATATTTTTATGGGAGTAATGCCAAAGACAATTTTCTATGGATTGTTTGGAAATACCCTAAATTCCAGAGCAAATCTTATAAGACTGCAGAAAATGTAGCAAATCATAAAATGCAATTTATTCATTTTTTGCATGAAATGTAATAAAGCAAAATATTTCACGAGTTAATACAAATATCTTCTACAATTTATGTAGGGTTGTTTGACAACTGATGGGCAACAGGTGTATCATGTGTTGATATTTTAGTTGTTTGCACCATAATCAATAACACGGTTTATTACAGAAAGCCTTTAAGTCTCAGGCCCCTACACCATCCTCTAGTCCAGTTCCAGATGAGGGACCATCAGTACTCTTTCCTCCACCAGCCTGTAGCACACCATTCACACCAGAACAACAACAGAAGATCCAAAGTTTTTGCCATGACTCGGGCATGAATGCTGAATGGTCAGCAAAGTAAGTTTTAATTTGGTTTTATCTTTACTCTGATAAGCTAATAATAAAAAGACAAGGTTGGTAGTCACTAGTACAGAGTTGTACTCAAATTTAAGATGAAAGCAAGGTTCTTTTAATTTGAAAAACAAACAGTAATGTATGAATATGTACAAGTCTAGAAATTGATATTTGGTTTGCTCAAGAGTGTATGGTGACATCTTTGGTTATTGTGTACTGCTGGATTACTGAATCATTTACATTTTCCCCATTTCTCCTTTTATTCTAAGGAAATATTCTCCAGAGAAAAAAAGACATGAACTTTTATTATTTCATTATAATCAAGAACAAATTTCATCATATTTTTAGATGCTTATTTATATCTTATTGTCGAGCCTGCGACTTTTGTCGCAGAAAGCTCGACATAGGGATAGTGATCCGGCGGCAGCGGCGTTAGCTAACTTCTTAAAAGCTTTATATTTTAGATGGTGGAAGACCTGGATGCTTCATACTTTGTATATGGATGCCTCATGTTACGAAGTTTCCGTCAGTCACATGTCCAATGTCCTTGACCTCATTTTCATGGTTCAGTGACTACTTGAAAAAAAAGTTAACATTTTTTGTAATGTTAAATTCTCTCTTATTATAAGTAGTAGGACAACTATATTTGGTATGTGCGTACCTTGCAAGGTCCTCATGCCCGTCAGACAGTTTTCACTTGACCTTGACCTCATTTCATGGATCAGTGAACAAGGTTAAGTTTTGGTGGTCAAGTCCATATCTCAGATACGATAAGCAATAGGTCTAGTATATTCGGTGTATGGAAGGACTGTAAGGTGTACATGTCCAACAGGCAGGTGTCATCTGACCTTGACCTCATTTTCATGGTTCAGTGGTTATAGTTAAGTTTTTGTGTTTTGGTCTGTTTTTCTTATACTGTATGCAATAGGTCTACTATATTTGGTGCATGGAATGATTGTAAGGTGTACATGTCTAGCTGGCAGGTGTCATCTGACCTTGACCTCGTTTTCATGGTTCAGTGGTCAAAGTTAAGTTTTTGAGTTTTGGTCTTTTTTTCTAATACTATATGCAATAGGTCAACTATATTTGGTGTATGGAAATATTTTATGATCTATATGTCAGTCGTGCAGGTTTTATATGACCTTGACCTCATTTTCACGGTTCATTGCTCAGTGTTAAGTTTTTGTGTTTTGGTCTGTTTTTCTTAAACTATAAGCAATAGGTCAACTATATTTGTTGTATGGAAGAATTGTTAACTGTACATGTCTGCCAGGCATGGTTCATTGGTCAATGTTTAGTTTTCTTGGTTAATGTTAAGTTTATTTGACAGTTGTAATTAAGCTTTATATTTAGGACTATCAACATAATATCAATGATTAGTAAAGAAGGCGAGATATTTCAGCGTGTGCACTCTTCTTCAATTCTCCACAGTGATGGTACAGCTGTAAAGGATGTGTATCAAGTGCCTGACTGGAAACAATATGATGATATTTATTGTCCAATCAAATCTTTGTATATTGTAAACAAGACTGTTACTCCACCTTTCTATTGTATTAAGGTGTCAATCTTAATTACAATACTTGAGCAAACATCCTAACAAAGTTTACAAGCAATAGATATAAGAAGATGTGGTTTGAGTGCCAACGAGACAACTCTCTATTCAAGTCACAATTTGTAAAAGTAAACCATTATAGGTCAAAGTACGGCCTTCAACACGGAGCCTTGACTCACACTGAACAGCAAGCCATTTAAACTTTTGTTCAACATTGAATTTTATAATAGCTCTAATACATTTATTTTACAGATGTTTGCAACAGTATAATTGGGATTATATGGAAGCTGGTAAGGTATTCTCTGAACTGCAGGTATGTATTTACCATCATTTTAATTTTTATATTCATTTCAAACAATGCTGTATTGTAGTGTTTAAGTACTTCTGCAACACTGATTTTCTGCCATTATACCATCATACACATTCAGACGATCAATGTCTTTTCAGTGATGCTCGAGGCCAAAATATTTAAAATCCAAGACCTAATAGACATGTACATGTTGAATAGCTGATAAAACCAAACCCACACAAGAAAACAGATCTAGAGCCATGCACGAGGGAAATTTATTTATCCCTATTTTAACTGAGTGGTTTTAAAATTTTCTGTGCCTGTGTTTAAGGAGTATGTATATTATAGTGCAGAGAGGTGTACACCCTTTGAATACTAGTTGAATACTAGGGATAAATAAATAGTAGTGTGAAAAGAATGGAATGTTTTTGTTTGAATTTGTTGTAATATAAAAAAAAAAAGATGTGGTATAATTGCCAATTAGACAACTCTCCACCAGAGGCCAAATGACGTAGAAGTTAACTATAGGTCACTGTATGACCTTCCACAATGAGAAAATCCCATACTGTCCCATACTGCAGAGCAAGCTATAAAAGGCCTCAAAATGACAAATGTAAAAGAATGCAAACAAGAAACTAACTGCCTGGCTTATTTACAAAACAATGAACGAAAAAAAAACAAATATAATATACAGCAACAAGTGACAGTGCATGTAAAAATGTATACACCAAAAAAAAAAAAAATGAAAAATGTAAAAATGTAGTTATTACCTTGATTGGATCTGAAGAACTATAAAATAGCTATGTTGCTTTCTATAAAATATTAGAACTGTTGTGTTGTTAAATAATTTTCAAACTTCATATTTAATTTTAACAGAAACAAAACAAGATTCCTCCAGAAGCTTTTCTAAGTTGATAAGTGACTGTGTTGTACTGCCAAATTACTTATCAATGGACCATCATAGTCTAATGGTATTGTTACTCATTAGAGGACCTTAATACTGTGTAACAACGATAATCTAATAATTGATCAGATATACAATTATTGTAGCTCAAAACTGTGGTTCAGTATAATTTACACAATTGACTTGATCTCGTGTTAAATCCTGTATTGTGTGAACATCTTTCATGGAGAAAAACAACAAGTACAGATAGTGACACTTGTGGATGAATTTATGTGGTGTTAAAGGTTTTAATTTAGCATAAACTCTTTGTATGAATTGTCAAACATGCCATTCCATGTACAAATTAAATTAAAAGATACTAATTATAATTTCAGGTCAAAATGATCTATTTGCTCAAATTGTAAAAAGAAATTTCCAATTGTCATTCATATACAGGTGTAGTGCTATCTATATTGTAATTATCCAATCATCCATCCTTGTATGACTCTTGTTAAAAAAATAAAACAAAGTATTGATGGTGTATTTTTACTGTTGACTGTTAATGCTATATTGTTTTATGTGTATTGATGCTACTGAGAAAATAATAACTTAGTGCAAAAGAGATATTTAATTTTATTGTGATTTTACATGCTAAATGAATTATTTGTAAATACTGAATGCTTTTATGTGTGAAGGTGGTGTAAATATGTGTTTTATAATGAATGATATATACAGAAGTGAGGATGAATGGAAGGTCAATACTTGTCAAAGAGGAAGTGAACAAATTTATTGTTTTGTTTTAATTGATCATGAGGGGTCAAATTGAAGATAGAAAGATTTTATCATTTTATTTTTTAATAAAAATGGTATCTGAAATAGTTCATTGTCATTATATTTTAATGCCCCCGCCATATAGGAGGGGGCATTAAGTTTTTCCCTTATATGTCTGTACGTCCTGAAATTGGTTTCCATTCTCTAACTTAAGTTTGCCTCAACCAAATGTTATGACTCTTATACACAATGCTTATTACCACAAAACTCAGATCAAATACGAATTTTGGTAGCGTCACTTTTACCGTTCTTGAATTATGTCCCTTTATAGTGTTATATGCAAGTTGGGGCATCATCTGTGTCCCATGGACACATTCTCCATTTATTTTCATTTTATTATACACCCATTCAAGGTTCATTCACCTTGTCTGTTCATCCATAATTTTTGTTACATTTTACTCAGATGCTGTATTAAGGAATGAATTGAAATATGATCTGGAATTTTATTATGATGAGTTGTACTGTGTAAGCGATTTTTAGATCTGCCTTGCAATCACTATGTTTGAAGGTACTTATTTAACTCACCTGATTCGAAGGGTCAAGTGAGCTATTCTTATCTCTTGGCGTCTGTCTTCACCATTTTTCTGCAACTTTTACACAAATTTTCTTCTCTGAAACTACTAGGCTAGTTAAAATCAAATTTGGACACAATTATCATTGGGGTATACAGTTTAAAAAAATGTGTTCAATGATCCATCTGCCAACCAACATGGTTCAAGTGACTAAAAATAGAACATAGAGTAGAATGCAATTTTCAACAATTATCTTGAATTGTTGAAAAGTGCATTCTACGAATGAAAATGGCTATAGAAAGAGAAAATCTGATGGGGGCAGAATTGTTAAGAAAGTTGAGATATATGTACTGTCCATTTTCCATTTACATCAGATCTGTTAGATGACTTCTTATTGGACCTACTTTTTGCGACAAAAGTCTCCAATTGCGAACATAGGGATTACAATCAGGTGGCGGTGACAGTCTAAACTTTTTGTATAAAGCTTTATATTTCAGAAGGAAGAAGATCAAGATGCTTCATATCTTGTATGCAGATACCTTATGTTACAATGTTTCTATTATGAGTAATAGAACTAATTTTGGTATATGGGATCCTTGCAAGGTCTTCATCTCCGTCAGACAGGGTTCACCTCTACCTCATTTCACGGATCAGTGATCAAGGTTAAGTTTTCTTGATCAAGTCCATATCTCAGATACTATAAGCAAAAGGTCAACTATATTTGATGTGTTGAATGATTGTAAGGTGTACATGTCAGACTGTTGGGTTTCATTTGACTGTGACCTCATTTTCATAGTTAATTAGCCAATGATGAGTTTTTATACGACCGCAAAAAAATTTTGCGGTCGTATATTGGTATGATGTTGGCATCATCGTCGTCGTCCGAAGACACATTGGTTTTCGCACAATAACTTTAGTTTAAGTGAATGGATCTCTATGAAATTTTAACATAAGGTTCAATACCACAAAAGGAAGGTTGGGATTGATTTTGGGGGTGATGGGTACCAACAGTTAAGGAATTAGGGGCCAAAAATAAGCATTTTTCTAGTTTCCAGACAATAACTTGTGGAACGGTGTATGGATCTCTCTGAAATTATACCACAAGTTTCCATACCACAAAGGGATGGTTAGGATTTGCTTTGGGGGGTTATGGCTCAAACTGTTTAGGAATTAGGGGAAAAAAAGGGGGAAAAACAAGGGTGTCCAGGTTAATGGACAAATACTTTAGTATTTAATTACAATCCAAATTCAGACCTGTATCAAGCGTGAATATTGCGTCCATTTTTGCCCCAACTGTTCAGGGTTGGACCTCTGCGGTTGTATCCAGCTGCGCTCGGTGAATCAATTTAATTTTGTTTAGTCTGTTTCTCCAATTACTATACGCAATGGATTAGCTGTATTTGGTTTGGTGTCTGTCTGGCAGGTTTCATATTACCTTGACCTTTTTTCATGGTTCATTTACAATGTCAAGTTTTTTCTCAGATACTATAAGTACTAAGTCCACTACATTTGGTAAATGTTAAGTTTTCATGGTTTATGTTATTCAGATCCTATAAGCAATAGGTTAACTATAAGTGGTTTATTGAATGATTGTTAGGTGAACATGTCTGGAAGGGTTCATCTGACCTTGACTTCATTTTCATGGTTTATAAGTCCATGTTAATTTTTCATGATTATTTCCATTTCTCAGATACTATAAGCAATAGATTAACTATGTTGGCTCTGGAATGATTTCATTATGTTCATGTTGTCTGGACTCCTTAAAGGAGTCGTTGCTCTTAATGATGATTTTTACAAATCTTTTTGTGCTTTCCCGAATATCTTCAAAACTATGATAGATAAATATTTTGAAATGAAAAAATGATCAGCAGGATAGTAACTACAAATATGTCAATAAGGGCCGAACTGCCAGTCAACTCTTTATAGGAGTTATTGCCCTTTAACGATGATTTTTAATCATTTTTCCAATTTTGAGGAAAACTCAAAACATCAAAAATCATCAGCAAGGCGAGAACTATAAATAGGTCACATAGATGAAATTGATAGTTGACTTCTTGTAGGAGTTATTGCGCTTAAATGATGATTTTCACCCTTCTTCAATTTTGGCAAAAGTTATAGAAGATGGAGAGAAACTCTTTAAGACCAGAACAACATGATCAACGAAAAAGGAAATTGAGTCCTGAATTACATTCTACCGGTAGTCTACTATCAGATTGGTCATCGTTGAAGATGCACCAAAATCCAAGTGAATGACACAGACTTTTAACAGCCTTTAGTTTACAACCACTGAACTTCAAATTTTTTGCCAATGCTTAATAACAAGTGGAGGTATACTTTGCATGACATTGTGCAGTACTCCTTGTTTAATATCATGAAATATAAATTGTTGGCTCATTGAACAGTGTTAAATTTCACATTTTTCATTTTAAGGAGGACTATTCCTCTGAAAGGATAAATGTCAGATACTCATACAAATAATAAACTGCTTCGCCAAGCGCAGCTGGATACGACCGCAGAGGTCCAACCCTGAACAGTTGGGGCAAAAATGGATACAATATTCGCGCTTGATACAGGTCTAAATTTGGATTGTAATTAAATATTTGACACATAATAGGTTTCTGACACAGAATAACTGTAGTCAAAGAACTTAGAATTGGTTATATGATTTGAATTTATATTCAATTTTTTGCTTTTATGCAATACACTATGCTGTTGCTGTTCCAATGGAATTTGTAACCATAATTACCCATTTAAAAACATCATAAAAGTCTTAAAATAGAAAATGACATACATAATCATGGTTAAAATTAATATTCCTTAATCAGCATTTTTAAATAGTAACTTCTAAAAATAAATTGACAGCTAATCACCTCAAGACAATACAACATTTCTTTATACATAATTTAAAAGCAGTGAAAGGGAGGTAATCCAAACATAACATTGTACTTTTTTTTAATTGTCCATTAACCGGTTACAAGAGCGCAATTATTCGTAATGCATTTTCCATAGGGTACCACTGGTGTTCCGTATTTTTTTTCTCGAAGACTACACAAACTAGGGAAAAACGGATTGCAGTTCCTGTTACTAGAAATGCCAGTGTTGCATTAATATCAAAAAAATATATAGGGTCATGCGGCAGAAATTGACTTAAAATGCAGTTGAAAAAGATCGTCTATTTTTTTCGCTTAATGATAAAGGCATATTTTTAATGGCTCCGACGTGCAGAAATGGAGGATATTTTCTATACTTCGTAAAATGTGAATATGATTTTCTGCAATTTTTAAACCTAATTGGATAAGCTTTCGATTAAATGTAATTCCAATCCTGTATCATCCAATCAGAAGCCGTATAGGATTCTATTCTGAGTACCATCTTGGGGTAAAAAACTTGCCGGTAAAATGTAAACAAATAATTGCGCTCTTGTAACCTATACGGTAATGAAAAAAAATTCCGAAAATTAAGCGCCCGCGCTAAATGAAGCGCTAGCGTCTATCTAGATAAAATAACGTCTTTAAAACATTATCTGATCACTCTCTTAATTTTGAGAATTAGTTTTTGCCCGCCGATCGGGCCAAAAATTTGAACTGATTTTTTCACCAAATACGGTACTGTTTAAAAAGACATGAAAATAAAGTTTATTTACTGGCCTTATTTTTCAAAGGTCACCGAGCACTGATCATATTGTCGACAAAACTGTTCTGATATGGAAAAGCTACATCGAATTTTGAAGAATGGCTTTAAATGAAACCATTTCTTGAAAAAACACGTTTTTGAAACAGACTATAGTTTTTCCAAATTTTGAAAATATGATAATATTACTACTTTGGCAAGAGAAACTATTCTTGGACTACAATATTCAATGCCAAGATTAATTTTTCTACTTTGCAATTTAACTAATTCGTTGGTGTTTGCTTAGGGACCCTTTCGGTCAATTTTCACCAAATTAGCTTTTTGCTAGAATAGCAACTGAGTCACGATCATTATTGTTAAAAACCAAAATGAATCTTCAAATTCAAGATATACACATGCTTTTCCCCATAAAAACAGTAGATATCACAAAACCGTTCTATTCTCTTCATACTTTGTCAGACTATAGCTTGAATTCACGTTGATGAAAAGTCCATTTGACCCAATTTCTCGCTGTTTCACATTTTTTCCGAGCAAAATGACTATTTTTAACATTTTTCAAAGCCTTATTAAAAAAAAATGTCTTTTTTCTATAGGTTACAAGAGCGCAATTATTCGTAATGCATTTTCCATAGGGTACCACTGGTGTTCCGTATTTTTTTTCTCGAAGACTACACAAACTAGGGAAAAACGGATTGCAGTTCCTGTTACTAGAAATGCCAGTGTTGCATTACAATCAAAATAAAATGCTCCGCAGGGCGCAGCTTGATACGACCGCAGAGGTCGAACCCTGAACAGTTGGGGGAAGTATGGACACAACATTCAAGCTTGATACAGCTTTGGATTTGGATTGTGATTAAATATTTGACACAGCATAGGTTTCTAACACAGATTGAATGTGGTCTAAG